AGAAAATAAGTACGCATGGTAACTAAGAAAAGCTGATCTTAGGCTAAAATCTCTTTTTCTAGTTTGCATAGGAATAAATCAGGATCAACAGCAGACACATAAATCTTGTATGGCTTAAATGAGTGGCAATTCTGCTTTTGATTTTTCAGTGAGTTTGCAATAGATCCTGTAATTATTATCATTAGAGAGGAATTGGATCTTTTTTTTTACCCCCCAGACCACAAATGATTCCACACACGGGATATTCAGTCCTTAGCAGCTGTCATTATTTAGAGGTTTAACAAGCACTCTTATAGAAAGAACTATAAAAGGCAAGTGGTATAAATAGACTAAAATTAATACAGGAACAAAATGGAGTTAGTTTCTGCTTCACTTGCCTCTATAGCTCTTTTAATTTTTGTATTTTTACAGTATATTTAGCTGCAGTTTCATTTCCAAGAAGTGTCAGTAACATTTTTTCAATGGTTGTTATGAAAGCCAAAGTTTTTCCCTCACTTTACAGACTGACTGCTGAATGTAACCAGTGTCTGGCAGAAATTTGAAGTGGAACAATTTAAGCATTTGCTCTTAACTTGCCAAATGAGGACGATACTAAATTATTACAGAATTATAGGTTACTGAAGAAGGGAATAATGCACACTTTGGTAGGAAAAAGGCTCTAATTTATGTATAGCCGTAGCATGAGATGAGGCCAGGTTTAAATCATAAACTTACAAGAGAGCTTGGAAAAATTCTTTGGTTTTGTTTGTGGAGCTGAATTGCAAGTTTTCCAGTTAGACCCCCAAAAACATAAGAGAGGAGTTGCATAAACTTATCCTTGTGGTTACTGTGACCTGAAGGAAGAATGCAGGAGTAAACTCAGAGAGTTGTTCCAATCTATGGCCATTCATCCACCTGCAGGGAATGGTGCCTAAGCCAGTCTAAAGAGGTGTCACTCTGTAGTTTTTACTTAGATATGGAAATTACAATCCAGAGGAACACATTAGGCTCTCCAGGTCCCTCCTAGATTCATCATAACTCAGCCATGCTGTTCCATGTCCTCCCTCTGTTGATTCCTCTCAGCTGGCAATTTGTGGTTTAAGAAGTTCCTGAGCCACCATCTTATGGTCAGTAGCCACTAGTAAGTCTATCCTCCATAAATATCTAGTCCTTTATGAGGCTTATATTTCTGCACCCCATTTTTGGCAATGAATTCTAAAATATTTGGGGAAAAGGTGTTTGCTTCTGTAGGTTTTAAACCTGTGACCTCAAAATTTATGAGTGCCCTTTAGGTCTTGGCTGGGAAAGAATGAAAAACTCTTTCCCGTTCATCCAGTTCATATGGTTTATGACCGTGCAGATGTCTCTCACATTTTCCTCTTCAGTCATTCCTTCCCAGACCCAGAAATCTTAAGCTAGAAATTCTCTCTCCCTTCTCAACCATGTTTTATGGCTTTCATTACCTTCATCATCTTTTTCTGTGTGTTTCCTAGTTCTACTCCGCAGTTTTACAGATGGGCTTGCACATAATAAATGGTATGGGTGTATCATTTATAAAGTGCCTGAGTGACAGTTTTGACATTGCTGTCAGTTCTGTTTCTAATCATTACCAATAGTCTATTTGTCCTTTTGATTGTTGGTGACTAAAACTAACCTGTTTTATTCCAGGGGGTTCTCTACCACTATACTAAAATCTTCTCCCAGAGTGGTAGGTTATCAAATCTGCTCCTTTATCCTGTAATTTACCCATAATTCAGATTACATTGCCTCCTGTGCTTCATTTTCTATTTGTTGTCATTGCATGTCTTCCAGCACGCTGCTGCTCAGGCACATCAGATCTGTTCATTCTTCTCAGTGGGTTTCTGGAACAACTCTGTGTCGTCAGCCAACTGCTCAGGAAACCATCCAGCTTGGCAGGCAGCACTGGGAAAAGCCCAGCCTACCTGAACACTGGAGGGCACAGAATGAATCACTGTGCCATGCCTGGACCTCAGTCTCTGGGGTGCTGCAGAGGAAGAGGAGGGAATCTATGCTCCTGCAGACCTGCCTGGCTCCCCGAGCAGTGCAGGGATGATCAGTGCTGTCATCAGCAGATGGTGCTGCTGCATTCAGCCTCCCAAGGTCATTGTGTGTAGGGATGTTTTGATTCCTGGAAGAAAATACTGAACTGGGGATGGTTTTCCACCGTGCAGATGTCTGGAGGGTAGGAAGGGTATGTTCTGACTTTATGTCACTCCTCAGTTCTCTTTGAGAACAGGATATTTGGGCTTTGGCTGGGAGTTCAGAATAAGGGTGTGTTCAGATGCTGTTTGAGGTGAACGGTTCCAGAATGTTCCTGTGTTTGAGTGGATAAACAAAATCAATTAGATTGACATCATATGCATCCACACAACTGATTTTTCCTCCAGTAGAAAACTGGCCAGCAATGGGTACGGCTGCTCATCAGAAATACTTACAACTCATCAGTTTTTTTCCATAAGTTTTACAATACTTGTTGTGTTTTGTAAAAGTCCAGGTGCAGAATCATGCTGTCACATGAGACTCCAATGCAGGAAGAGCCAATGAGCAGCACGATTGGGTGCAAAACTGTCCAAACCTTTCCTGAGGCCAAGGATACACCAAGCTCAGCCAAGATCAGAGAGAAGGACTCTCCACAATGCCTGGCCCATGCAACCCAGCTCCGTGCTGGCCATGGCTCAGAGCACCTTCCCACGACCAAGAGGCAAAGGCATACTGCCATGAATGAAAAAGCTCAGAAAGATACAATAAGGGTGTGAATAAAGGCCTTTTACCTTCCAGCTGTTCATGAGAGCTCTGGAGCTCTCAGCTGGACAGAGATGCTCCTGCTCAGACCTCTGCTGAAAGGTGGGTGACAGACCCTGCTGGCAGGTGCTGGCTTGGTCTCTGCAGGTCCAGGCAGAAGCCAAGGCTGCTCTTCACAGCCTTCCCCCTTCCC